TATAATGCGTTTCCACTACAAGAACCCGCTATTTTACTCAACCCTTCTGCATCAGCTTGTAAATTCCTATGTTGGCCTATAAGATTTTAATCACATAGTCTCAGAATCTCACGTGAATTGTACAACCCAAACCGAGAAACGGGTTTCGATCATATATTAGCTTCAATGTTTTAATTTTATATATTCTGGAACAGATTATATGTAATTGGTTTGATTTGATTGTTGCAAATAACTACCTATATGCTTTAGTATTCCAAATGAAGACGAAGCTCTCGCAGTAGAGTATGGGCCCACCATATTGAACACTACACTTTGGCCGTACCGATATGGTGTGTATATTGGATGTGCCTGTGCAGTACGACTATATAATTGGAATGAGTGATTCGTTGTCTTTTGGAAACCCCTTGGCAGGCTTGCCGAACGAAATGGAGCCCATATTAGAAGTAGATGAAATAATTACTGAGCTCGTTAAGAACATACCGGACTTGATAGTCGAGAATTGACCGATTCAAATCACTCAATGGGTGAAGTTCAGTTCAATAGCGGCTATATAAGTTTAGATTTATCAGATGCCGACTTCGTCTAGTGTCTTAAGCCACCTTCGAGAAATAATAGAAGACGTGTCAAAACAATTACATGCGTTAAAACGGTGTTATCGAAGTCAACCACGAGCCCACACTTTCCTACCTAATACTGTTAGCAGTGGACAAGTTCGATTCTGACGTGACCTTTGAGAAAGTCCAAATATGTATGGACATGAATCCTATTAATAGGATCATATCCACACATGACTTTCACCTACCTTGCATAAACGAGATGCCAATCTTCCTACGACGAGCTAACAGTCTTCTCCAATATATACATTACACAAGGGTGTCATCAACTCAATATGCTTTGGAAACAACGAAAGTGATTACCCGTCGAGTGGATAGGAAGGCAATACATGTATAGAAAAGCCCTTTGGGATTCGCACGTTACCTGCTTATTTGTAACAGATTATGAATTATCTGTTTCCGGATATGACCTAGGTAAGGGTAAAGTTGGATGTTATAATCATCTTCACCGCGACACGAGAAAGCCACACACATAGTGTACGTCAAGTACTTGCACGTTTATATACGCACAACTTCTAAATAGACTGAATCTGTGATTGGGGAGTGGACAAAGCACCGCTCATGTCCTATGTGACATTGTCTAGAGAAGACATAAATATAGACCCTGGAAAGATAGAACATAATATACTAGCGTGCACCAACGACCGGTAAGGCTGTTAACAGTCATTGCGAGGTTTCGTGAACTTCTTTAAAGATAAGTACCTAATATAGCGGGCTTGCTAAAGTCATTTGAACTCTGCGTTTACACAAGGGTACGCTAAATAGTATATGTACAGCAGAATGCGAGCCGCATTCGGCAAGATTAAAGTTGTGGTACAGTCCGATATTAAAAGTGGCCACAGTCGCGTCCGATAATGCTGTGAGGGATGTTCTCCACCAAGTGGTAGACGGCAAGCCTCGACACATGCAGTTCTTTGATATGAGCTTCGACGATTTCTATCGTAACTACCCCGCAGTTATGCAAAAATTACTTGCCATATTATCTGCTGTAGAGCACTAACCGGTTTTGGTATATCTTAACGATATGAAACCGCACAACCAGCTGGTGAGCAGGTGGCATTTTCGCCTATGTTAGTTCTTTTTTATAAAATAACACATACCAGGCGCGCACAACCACTTCCCGGACATGCCTTTACGTCAGATACCAAACTATCAAAAGACTGTTTACGAGTTGCATCCCATTAATATGTTTTCGAATCACCCTAAGGGTGATACGTTTGAGATCAATAACGCGGAACACATCGCATAGGCAAACTCTGCCATGGCATTTGATACAGCAAATGGATATGTTAACATACATAAAGCAACTATAATGCTACATTGTCCTCTGAGAAGGGCGTATCATTGGTTCAATAACTTAAGAAGAGCCGATACATGAAGTATGTGCGATTTAAAAAACACCTCTTAAGGTGAATAAGGTTCTCACTTAATCTATGCTCTAATCCAAAGGCAGCGTCGCCACGTCTTCAACTGATCGTGGCTTCCAATATAATCTTTGGCCTTATACGTTTAGATTGTACTCCTCCGATATTTAGGGGTGCCCTTATGCCCATCAGAGATTTTCTAAATTGATGATTCCGTACTCCCGGTACTTCGGCACCGATATTAATTTTCATCTATAATATTTTGTGTCCCTCTCTAAATTTAGATTCTCTTCTTGGTTGATGCTGGGATAAACCTGTCGAGCCTCCGGTGTTTGATAGTAGTTTCATGCTTGGTAAACAATCCTGGTTTACTGTGATCTATATATATATATATATATATATGTATGTATATGTATATATATACATATAG